TTTCAAGTCAGAATATGCTAAACTCTTGGGTATTGAATACTATAAAGGTTTCTATGAGGCATCTTAATAATTTTCACTTGCATCAAATGCCACAGAGTAGGCTGTTTGCACTGGCAGCCAGAGCTCCGAGGTGTAAACAAGGCTGAGCCTTTCCTTTTCAGGAGTAAACAGGCACAGACCACCAGCACTTCCTTACACTTCTATTATTTTTCTTCTTCTTCCTTTAATACAAATTACAAATTACAAATTACAAATACTCTGGCTCAGCAGGTTCACAAGCCACTGCTTCTTGTGTCTCTGTAGAATGTGGATGCTGCTCTGGCCACATTAAATAGTACAATATTGTAGAATATCTTTGCTTTGGGGTTATTTTCTGCCCCTGCTGCTTAATTGCTTTGCCAAGTAATTGTCCCACCTACACACTTAAAGTCCTGACTGCAGGATATTTAATGGTGCCTTGCCATCACTGGCAGAAACAAGGTTGAGCACGATGCCTGTGAGTCAGGTAAGTGTTATCCCCGAGTATGAATGCAGTACAGTGCTGGTCTGGAAATCTAGACCAGAGGCAGAAATGCTAAGTTTTTCATGTTTTTCATGCTTTATTTCAAAGCTGTTCTTGCTCAGTTTATGATTTTTAAGCAGTTCACTCTTTTGCCTCATCGATGCCTAACACTTGTTAATGCCTCATTCTAATGGCAGAGGCGTTTTGTAGATACCTACATTTGCTCTCAGCGCTCACTAAATACTCCTGAGATTTGCTCTCTCAGCTGATGCAGAGAATGGATCCTGCTGTAAACCAGTCCTTGTTCCAACCTTTTCAGAGTGGCCTGTACTTCCAGTTGGGAGCTTGATTTCTTTGAATTAGAGGTCCCCACACAGACAGGTTTTGGTTGGTGTCATGACCCTCCATTTCAAAGCTGGTGTTCTATAGTGAATTGGTAAGTGGTGAGCAAACCAGCTCAATTCTCTTGATGTAGCTGAAAGTGCAATTGGGTCGATACTTGGCTCAATCCTGCATTTCAGAACCTGAGCATCGTGTGCTTGAATTGTGCTGCATAAATTTTCATTCTGTTCTCTTGTGGAGAAGAGCCTGTGCTGCTGCTGCTGCTGCTGTGCCTTAGCCAGCCTGAAGTGACAGAAGAACCACCTTTGATAACTGGAAGAAGCTGAAGTCATTTAACAATCTCTTTTCTTTGAAGCAAAGGAATTCTGTTCCTCTTATCATCTGGTCTGCTGATATTGTGTCCAAGGTTTCTTTTGCTGTTTTGACTGAGCCTGAAAGTTCCAAAAGCACAGAACGCTTTTTGAAGCGGTTTCTGCCCCTGGCTGAAAATGCAACGGAATTCATTAGCCTGGAAGTGCTGGCTGAGACCCTGCTGGGGGAAGGAAGGGGAGCTGCCCTTGTATTTTTTGTATCCCTTGTGCCATTTTGGACTTGAGCAGTATTTATTTTTAGTCCATTTAAACAGTGCAGAAGGAAGGGGCAGTTGTAATATGGCATATTTACATCATGCTGTCAGTTCCTGGCAGCTCCCTTGCCTGTCGGAGAACAGAATTGGTCCATTAAGGATGTGAGTGCTACTTATGCCCACGAATAGTGAAACATCGTCTCCAGGGTGGGAAGGCCTCCCCAGGCAAGCAGGTTCGTTTGTTTTTCTAAGGTGGAGTATGGGGAATTTTTTTTCATGTCACAGGGACAGGAATGGGCCATTCTACCTCCCACTTTTTCCTTCTCTACTCTGGAAAAAGAGAGGCGAAGTCTCTATGTGAGATCAGCATGTGCTGGTTTTTCCCCTCATGTCACGCTTCAGTTCTCTGCCCCTTTATAAAAATAAAAATCTATAAATAAAAAAGAACAAATGCTGAGGGGGACAAACTGGACCCACAGTTATGTGCATGTAGTCACTCGTCAAAGTGTGCCTAGCCCCATTCCTCCCAGGCTTCATGCATTCCCTGTTTCTTATGCTGTCAGCTTCTCAGGATGGGAAACATGCACAAATAATCCTGGCTGGAGCTTTTTTTTTGCCCTACCATAACATAATATTAATTGAGCTTAGGCTGAAATGTCAGGCTCATCTGCTGTTGAATTAACTCATTCTCCATTTCTGTATCATTTCCCATTTCCCCCACTTTGGAGGGAAAAAAATTGCGTTGAGTTTTGCTGCCACACTTTAATGTCACAGTAATACCTTTCTCCTGAAATTAAGCAGCATTTAGCTCTGATCTCTCCTGTTTGCCTCAAGCACAGGCACCCTGTGATTTCCCTTTCTTGGAAACTGCCCTGTCTCAGCATGTGGGTAGGAGGCCATGTAAATAAATACCAACCACTTCTTAGCCTTCAGTAGGCATTTCCTTTTTCCTGGTGGCTGCAGAAGAAACACTTTCTCACAGTTTGGCATCAAACATTTATATAACTTTCCTGCTTGTGGAATTTTTGTTTAGACAATCAGATTCTTGGTGTAGTTTTTCCGTGAGTTTCTATTTTTATTCATCCGTGGTTGCTTGGTTTTTCAGTAAATCGTGTCTGTCAGAAGAAACACTTGATCAGAAACTTCTTAAATTTTCAGTAATTGAATAGTAAACCATGATAAACCTATTCTGTAATAATGTAATAAGAAACACTTGATCAGAAACTTCTTAAATTTTCAGTTATTGAATAGTAAATCATGATAAGCCTATTCTGTAAAAATGAAAGATAAGTTTTAAAGAAAAAATTAAACTTATCTTAGATTTTTTTTTTCTTAGTTGTAATGGAATATATCTGCCCAAATGGAATATTTCTGCCCAAAAGATTTTTTTTTTTTTTAAAATAACCTGCCTTAAGTTTTTCAAATAGAATACAAAAGTATCTTATATTGCCTTGCAGCCCAGCTTCCAGCTGAAAAAGAAAATATTTGCTTTTGGTACGAAGTTCAGTAGATGCTAGAATATCTCCCTTTGTCATGGCAGTGGAGCTAATACATTGTTATCCTTTTCTTTACTAGTTAGGACATAAATTCATAATAGCAAAACAGATCATATCAATACAAATCAGTATTAGAGGATAGGTGTTTCTAATTTGCATACATACATATTTATAAGATCTTTATTTAGTGTTGTTTGCTATTTTTTTTTTTTAATTGATAAATTATGAATTTACATGGCTTAGTTTGATTTGTCTGAGTGGGTGGCAGTGTACAATCCCTGCTGGGAGAGCCCCAAGGAAGGAAAATATAGATCTGAGCTCCAGAGTGGCACAGAACTAGATTCCTTCATGGGAGCAGATGTTAGATGAGAGAGTGGAGAATATACCTATGTATCTTCTTTTGTGAGGAATAATTTCTAGGGTGGTTAACATAGAGGCAGTTTCTGAATCCATCAGATGCTTTTTATGGAATACACAGAATTTTATAACCTTTGTATTCAACAATAAGAGAAACTGTGCTTTTTCAGAAGGGCTTTTGAAATCTGGTTTTTTCTCTCCTGAGGCCCTGGTAGGAGGCTGTCTAGGAAAGTGAGCCTTTGTTGGCCATGTCACAAGATTTTTATAGTTTCACTCTTAGGGCCTTTCTCATCCAGCTTAGTTTTGCAATGTGCTGAAGCTCAGCCAAGATGAATTGCATCTGCCAGGCCATCTTCCAGTTGTGAGCACTGCAAGGTGCTTGGTGTATTCTGGGAAACACAGAGAGACAAGGCTGAGCCCTGCTTTGCTTTGTCCCTTAGTCCTGTCTCATGGCATACAATACACTCATCCCATGCACATTTCTTCCTTGAGCCCATGAGTGATGGGAACACTTTGGGAACACTTTGGGAAGTGCAGTGGTGCTGGGCTTCAGAGCTGGCTCTGGTGGTGGCTGGGCAGACACCAGTCAGCCTTGCTTCACGCTGCCTGATGAGGGACTGGGAAGGAATGGAAGATCTCCAACTTCAGTGGTTTATTGAAGTTCTGTAGGGTCAATGGGGAGCCAAATTCATGAAAAGCCCATTTAGTATCAACTGCAGGAATTCCAGGGCACAAAACCTCTCTGCACTCCATCGCTGCCAAAGTGGCACCAACCTTAACAGTACCTTAATGGCTTTTAGAAGCTGTTAAACTGTGCTGTGCTAATACCTGTCAGCAGAGCTATCATGATGTGCAAGCCCAGAATGAGGGCTTGGAGGATGCCCTCTTGTCTTTGGATCCTTCTATTTAACATCTGGTGTGATTGCAAAGTGAACTGGAGAGGTTTGCTTCAGTCTATCCATCAGTGCAAGCGCTTAAGGAAGTTTAACACGATGGAAACGGCCAATACACTTCGGGGTTTTTGTTCTGACGTAATGAATTACCTTGCTAGCCCTTAATTGGAAGTGACAGGAAGGAAGAAACCTGGAAAAGGTGAAATTACTGTGATTGTGCTGTAAATGAGGGTTGTGATGAAATTGCAAAGCAGTTGGCTACAGCAAGAATGAATAAATCATTCCTATTTGGAGAAATACGCTAGTTAGAGTCTGATTTTGTTTGTACACGGTACATATAAAACCTTGATAATGGCATTATTTTGATTGATTTGTATGTGTTTTGTATTTTTCACTGGCAGAATGAAAGTTTCTGTGTGGGTTTATTGAATGCCATGCTTACATAATTAATAATAACAACAAAGTAGAGATGAACTTATGTCACCAGTTACTTCACTTGCTCTGCAGACATTGAAGAGTTCTTTTTTCAACTGACACTTTTATTTTAGTTAAGTCTGACCCTTGCTTTTTTAGAATTCAGAGGAATGAAAAATAACAAATGTAGATGTTTGTGTGTTTGAGGTGAACTTTTTTTATTAGGAAATGTTTTAAAAGGGTCAGTGAAAAACAGAACTGAAACTGAGGTTTAATTTCTCTTGCAGGTAGATCTATGAAAGATAAGCAGACTTTTAAATTTGGGTATTTTCTTGTGATAACAAAAGTACCAAGGTCATTACCAACTAAGCAGAACTTGCTGACATCAGGCTTCTTCTCACACAGTGTTGTTTTAATCCTTTTTTTCCTAGGAGAAAGAGAAGAAGTATATGCTGCCTTTGGACAACTTGAAAGTGCGAGATGTTGAAAAGAGCTTCATGTCCAGCAAACACATCTTTGCATTGTTTAACACAGAGCAGAGGTAAGAAAATGTGCTGTTCTGCAGATACTTCTATCAAATGGCATCTAGCTGAGCATTTTCATAACTGTGAGTGCAGTTCTGCTGTTTCCACCCTGTTGAGTGCGCAAGGTCTTGATATTCTTGATTTATCTTCTGCTTTGCTGTTGCATAACCATGAGATGAAAGGCTGATGTCCTCAGAGCCACTCGTGGGGTGAAACAGCTCCATGATGAGTCAGCCAGTCCTTCCTTGTGGCTGAATAATCATCTCCTGATCCTATTTTTGTTTTATTTGGCAGTCACCTAGGCTTACCAAAACATACATGACTTCTGTACCTTGTGACCAGATTCAACTGGTGGAAATCACAAAAGCGTCATTGCTTTTCACTTTCTCCAGTGGAAAATGTTGCCTGTCATTAATCTTGGGACACATTTGATTGTTTGTTTGGGTTTAAACACTGCTGAATGGAGAAAAAATAGATTCCTCTATTTCTCTAATTAATAAAATCTTTGCTTAGTTTTTGCCTCACTTTTCCACTCAGACTCTTCTCTGTTTTAAGTGGTGTGGGTGCTGTATGGAAGCTACTCCTGATGCACAGCCAGTTCAGATTACTGTGCACAAACAATTTCCTTAAATGTTACAAAAGACATAAAAGTGAGGTGTAATTTTTATGTTTTTTTAACTGAGGAGGAGAGTTTCATTTGTAGCTGTCTCAGTGGAATTACATTTTAGCAGGTGAGGGGCAATTCCTGTAAGTTTTTTTTTTCAGGCAGGTAAGTAAATTGAATTGCAGGGGTAGCATGGATGGATTTTGTTTCCCTCTTCTGCTAAATTCCTTCACATCTACTTCTCCCTCACATCACCAAAGCTTGGCATTATCTCCAGACACTCAAGATGATGTGGCTGGCTGCAGAGCAGCTGTCTTTGCTCCCAAAGTGTCCAGAAATAGTGACCAGAATTTCAGAAGCAAGGAGTGCTCCTCCCTCCTGCAAAGCAAAAGCAAATCAGGGGATTTCTGAGCTGTCAACTTTCTGCTGACCCCAGAAACGTGAGGACACAATGTCAGGCTCAGTCTGAAGTAGCCCAGGAAGGCTGAGCCAGCCTGCAAGGGGACATGGCCTGCCAGGATGCGCCCTTTGAAAGCATGTCACACACATACTAGCTGGGAATAACGTTTCAAATGCTTGACCAGTTGTGTTTCTGAAGCACAGAAAAAAGCTTTGAAAAGCTTTTCATGTTCTTAAAAACATAAATGAGCTTTGGATGCTGGGAATGAATGTAATTCTGATGATTCTTGCTGTAGTTATGTGTGGATCATCCCAGTGTTGGGTGTACATCCATCAAGAAAGGTAACTTTGTCCTGGTGGCTTGATAGCAGCTGTACTTATTAGGTTACTTCCATAAGAAATTTGTTAATTTTTAAAGAAATTTTAAAATTTTCTCATGGTTTCTCCTTTGGTTCGACTAATGACTTTTAATATTATCATCATCATAAATAATAATCATTGAACTGCTGTGAAAATCCAAGAGAAGCATTTCCATTGGCAAGTTTGGGATTTACTTAGGTGATGTATAGCTGGACATTCCCATTTCCACTCGATCTTCATCCATACTAGACATCAAGCACTTCAAAATCAGATGTCTAAAATGTTTGCCATGTCTGTAATAACCCTGCCTCTTTGGGCTCTGAGTAGACCCTGCAGCCTCTGCAAGCTGCTCTAAAAACATCTTTACATCCACATGGACATGTTAAGACACGACAGCACAGCAAGAAGATCACAAAATACCTTTGCCTTGGGAGAGGCAGATCATGGAGTCAGTCCTGCAGCTTTAAGGGAGGCCAGAGTTGTTTCTGAAGAAATATTTATTGAATTCTAATTAAAATAGCAGTTTCTCTGTTACTGTAAAACAGCTGATTTTTGATATTTCTAAAAATCTGCCTCCTGGCACAAATGGATCAAAACAAGATTAGTATCATTTTCCACTGAATCCTGAATTTATAGATGTGTCAGCAAAAACAGGAGTGTTGGTTCTCGAGTGGAGTGATCTGGCTGGGGACTCTGTACCCTATGCCACGTTCTTAAGGAAACTGAAAGAGGGAATTGATAAAGATCCATTGAAATAAAAAATCTTATTGTTGTTTGTGGTAATCTGTTGAATCCTGGTTTCTGATGTTTGCTTTTTAAAGATCATGTAAAAAATTAACTTAGTTTCTGGTTGTTTTTTTTTTTTTGTTGGGGGGTGGTAGAGTGCTTTTTTCAATTAAAAAAACCTTAGCAACTGAGAAAGAAATCAGCTTTCGAAGTCTGCCCACTGAGGGTTCTGGTTATGGAACCATTTTGCTATTTAAGATGTAGATCGTTAAAGAACAAAGGCAAAATCATCTGTTCCAGCTTCCATGATAATACAGAGATTATTCTGTATCTCTTTTTTCTCCCCCCATAATCTGCAGCATTTTTTTTCCTTGATTGTGAAATCTTTCTTAATGTTCAATTAAATTATTTAGTTTTCAAGCAAAAACCTTTTAGAAGAAGAATTTTAATAAGCTTGTTCTCTTTTTCATTCCCAGCCCCTCACTGCATAGGTATTTGCTCCAGCCATATGTTTCTGATACTGTACATTTCAATAGTTTCCTGGATTATGCACTGCATTTTTTCCATTTATGAAAACCTTTCCAGCTCTGAAATATAGTTACCAGGAAAGTACTCATTTCACTGCATAGAAGGAAAAACCATCTTGAGTTAGCTGAGACTTGGGGATAGATGGAGAAGGAAACTAACAGTATCTGTCATTTTGATTTAGTGCAGAAGTCAACAATTCTGTGACAGGAATCAAATGTGACTTGGTAATGTAGAGTAAATGGAGACTGTGACGATTGATTTCACAGTGAAGATAAATTCTCATGAAATGAACATAATTGTGTGTTTATGAAAAGGCTGTGTTGTGAAATAATTTAATTATTTTCATGATACTTTCTAATTAAATCTTAAAAAAAACACACCAAAAAAAAGAGGTGAGGGTGGGAAAAGGAAAAGTGCCTGAAATAGTTCCAGTATTACTTAAAGAACAGGGAGATTAGGTTTGTTTTTCTGCAAAGTAAGTAATACATCTAAAGTTTTTGAGTGAGCCATCTACTTAATTTATAGACACTATGGAAGAGCTTTGCAATGGACCCCTCTAGTCTCCTTACCTTAGGAGTATTTGATATTACAACAAAATAAATTCAATAATTCTGTGATTCCTGGATCGTTTTTGGCTGTGTCTACACAAGCTTGCCTTAAGTAACTCAAGTTGAGCTGTGGGTTCAAGCAGTGAGTATCCAAACCTAAAGCTGACAAGTGAGAGCTATTTTGTGTTAACCATCTTCTCCACAGGAAACTCGTGGCAAGTCTAAGTTTTTTTTAGACTGGAAAAAGAGATCAACCATATTGAATATTTTAAAATAATTATGCTGTAGGAAAAGGCAGAATATTTGCAGGACTGCTGTAGAGCTTACTGTGAAGTTGTTTAGATGTAGGCACTGATTGACTTTCTAGGAAGAACAAAGAATGAAGAGAGGGTTTTGTCAGCATCTCAGCTCCCATTCAGTAGATTAACCTGTCATATTCTCATTGCTGGGTGGGTAAGACTCTTGTTCAGAGCTCAAGAACAAAGAAAACAAATTCTGTCCATCCCAGAAAGTTTCTTACAGGATTTCATTCCAAATACTTGATTTGTTCTCTATTTCTTGTAAAAATTATTCACTTACTGATGCTTTTTCTGTTACCCAAGTACTGTAACCTGGGACAAGAACTGTAAATGTGTCTCCCTAAAGGATCTGTGCAAGTCCCACCTCTCCATGTCCCCTGATGAGTTCTCATCATCTCACCCTGTTGATCCATGTGGTACTATTTTAACAGATTGTCTGTCATTCTAAAATAACCTCTTGCCTTTGCAGTAGTGTAATTACACTTTTTTCCTGATTTACAGGTCAATAAATTGTTGTATTAATGTATTACAACTCCATTTATATAATAATTCCCTTTTAAATAAAGAAATTATGCTGGGTAAAAAAAAACTGAGAAAAAGCTTTTTTCCAACTCTTCTCCAGCTCTGGAGAGATGAATTCTCTTTTATAGGAGCAGGGATTCTACTGGGAGCAGGTTTTGGGGGTTCTCAGTGGTAGTAGGGTGAAGTGTTTGTTAAATTGGAGAATTTTCAAGCCTTCCCTACCAATATTGGGAGTAGCAACCAGAGGGTGAGGAAGGGTTACCTGGTGGAGAGTCCCTGATCAGGAATCTTTCTGTGCTACTCTTCACACTCATTCCTTTCTTCAGAGCCAAAGGAGCAGAGCCAGTGTGTGAAATTCTGCCTTCCTCGCAGAAGATGCCACCAGTTCTTGTCTTTTACTGTTCTGCCCAACCAGGACCCAGATGAAAGCAGTAACGGTGCTGCTTTCCTCACCTCTGTGGTTCTGTGTGATAGAGGGGTGTGAGGAGCAAGTGCAAAGCACAAACCTGTTCTCCTTTCACAGGAGTGGCTTCCTGAGAGCAGAATGCCCCTCCATAATCACGAAGCAGTGGGACAGAATCTGCCAGCCCTGCTCCAGAGCTGCCTGCCTGTAAAAACAGCTCTTTAATCTGACACACAGATGAATGTCCAGAGGAGAGCGAGCAAAAGGCCATTCTGAGGGCACACAATAGGACTGAAAATAGAACTGCCAGATGAGGAATGGTAGCTACTGAGTACACTCTGTCTGTCAGGAATCATATTGCACAGGGAACTGTGCTGGCTGCTAGCACCCAGGAAATCACACCGAGCAAAAGGTATCGCTACGGATTTTGGAGAGGTGTTGGTTTTGTGTTGCTCTAGAAGAGGATGGAGCACAAGTTGTTTCTGGGAGTGCACATGAGCTTTAAATAGTGAATTTCTGGCCATGGGCAGCAACTGGTTAACTGTTGTCCATATATAAGGGAAATTGGGCAAGAGCCAAAATAAAGGGAACTAGTGAAAGGAGACCGGGTCAGAGGAGGTGTTGGATA